GGCGTGGGGGGCGGTGTGGCCGGGCGCACACGGACGCATGCGCACAGGCCCGCTCCGGGGCGCCCTCCATCCCACCTCTCCCCCAGCTGGGGCAGACACCAAGGCTGCAAAACCACGTACATTCCTCCTGGGTGTCTCTCCCCACACACCCCGTCGAGCCATCTCTGCAGCCAGTGGCAGGAAGCCCAAAATCAGGACTGTAAACTCTGTCCTAGTTAGGACGATGACCAGAGGGGACAGACTGAGGACACTACGCAGAATCGTCCCTGTCACCCTGGGGCTTACGTAGCAATGGCTTGTCCCGGCTCCGCAGTGCTGCAGACCTTCCACCCGACCCCAAGCTGTTTCCATCAGCTGCCTGAAGGTGCAGGCTGGAGAGGCATAGCTTCTGAGAAGGCCTGACATTTTGTACGTTGGGATTTGCCATGAGAAAGTAAGAGGCAGCATTGCATTGTTCCTCAGAGTCTGTACCCATATCAACTAGCTTTACTTCAAGTTTCTGGTTCATTTTCTAAGGCAGGTGTAGCCCTGAGCTTTTCAAAGGCCTGAGCTCCCTCCAGGGAGACAACAGTATCTACACATGATGTGGTTCAATTACTGCAGCAGTGATTTTTTTTTTCAGCAAAAGTTGGCGGTTAGGGTTCTTTAAAATATATATTTAAATAACTTTTTACATTTACATATAATATCTTAAAAAACAAAGCAGAGAAGTCAATCCCACACACCTCGAACCCCAAGCACACACACTTTACAAAACAGAAGAGTAACATGTTATCAAGAGGCAAAAGACTAAGAGAATTTTGTCTGTTGGTTTGTTAACTGGGAGGAGGGGCTTGCCACACGTGGCTCACATTTTGGGTTGAGGAGGGCTCTCTTTATTACCACTTTTGTGTTTGTCAAAGCTAAAAAAATCTTTTTTTTTTCTTTTTTTTTTCTGTAGGAAGTCAGAGTTTGGAATCTCCGTACAGTTCCCATTTCCACAGAAGAGTTCCATCTGAGCTCAGGCTCCAGGGCCGCCACTGTCGGCCAGGCGAGATCTCGGTCCTGGGAGAGAGAGAACAATTGTCAGGGGAGGGGGCCGGGCCCGCAGGCTTTGGGCACCACATGCAGGGACGAGGCAAGGGACCTGGGGGCCCATCCCAGCGTGTGGTGGGCTCTCAGAAGTGACAGCTCTGGATGCTGGATGGACTGTGTATATGGTAAAGGGCTGAAGTGGAGCCCCCTTTCTGAGGGCACGGGGGCCTTCTAGGGAGCCGGCCTCCCTCATTGGGTTCTGCAGAGCCTTCTGGAAACCCTTAGGCAGCATGAAAACACAATGTACAAAAGATGTGCCTTGGGCCCTGTTGCAGGCACTGGGAAGACCCCCACTGCGGAGCTCCCACACCTCACAACAAAGTAATTTCAGATCGTGAAAACCTGGGAAGTAAACAGAGGGTGTGAGAGTGAGCTCGGAGGGGGCTGGAGGCTGGCTCTTAACCCAAGATCTGCAGGAGAGAAGTGGTAGAGAGGCCTGGAGGCTGGAATGAACCTGGCACGTTGGAGGAACAGGACAGGGGCAAAGGCGGCTGACATCATGAAGGAGGGATGCGGGAGGAGGTTGGGCGGGTGGGGGGGGCGGCAGGGCCTGATCAT